GAGTGGTAACCAGTGATCCCACTGCCTCCGAAGACTGGGGAGAAGAGGAAGGTGCTGTTGATAATCCAGTGGCTGCAAAGGTAGCTGCGGTGGAAAGGGAGGTACTGTCAATGATCCAACTGCTGTAGGCGTCACTGGAGTGGAAGGGGAAGTAACCTTGGAGATTATTAAAGCACATTTCTGGGTCCATATAAAATTTTATTTATTTTTTGTATAAAGTTTTAAGGTTTGTAATGTAGGGATGGGGCTCTGGTGATTGCTAAATGTTATTAACAAAGGGCAACTGTTGGCAAAATCCTAGTTTCTCCTATCTTCTCTTAAGTTGTCATCATTATATAAGCTGAAATTAATGAGTGGTAAAATGTTAAGGTATGAGTTCTGTTTCTGGTGGAAGAGGGCGTAGTTAATCTGTGTTTTACCTTTTGAAATTTGTTTGTTTTGTACTCCTTCTTTATTGTCATTTGAGTTTGGAGTTTCTATTTTGAGAGATGGAAAATAGAGAGTATTACACACAGTGGGTAGAGATGATGTGGAAATGAGACAGTCCTCTAATTGTAGTCTGGCTTGTAAAGAACTCTTGTCATTTGATATTTTGCACTTACGTTCTTGAAGGTCAGGTGTTGTTAAGCCTGGTAGCCACTACCAAATGTATTGTGTTAGAATGGTATTTAAGAGTTTATACATGAATACTTAATGCTGGGAATATGTCACTGGTTTGCTGGAGAATGTGATTGAATATCAATATATGAACATTTTTCATTATCCATAACAATAAAGAATGACAGTAGTACAAATAATTCCAAACATTAGATAATTTAAAAATCTTTTCTATTGAGTTTTGAAAAAAATAATTTTATGAACTGAGGCATCACTACATCAAATAATCCTATCAAATAATCCACAAGAGAAATAATTTTGAACAACTAGTTGAATTATGGTATCCACAAATGTGACCTGTGTTGATCAATAGGTAAATATCAGAATACCATTCTAAGTGTCACCACATTCCTGAAAGGGGAGTACTCCTTATTATCTATGTTTTGTATGCCTTTCTTGAAATTTACCTCATGGCATTCTCACACACTATCATAACTATGATATTTAATAAATCATTATATTAATATTTAAATTTTTTCTCCATTTTTCTCTTTATTTTACTCTCACATACCTCTTCTATTCCATTTTTACACCATCATCTAAATAAAGCAATTCCTAATGATGTTATTGTAAATATACAGCAATACCTCAGTTCCTGAACTGAATTTGTTCTATGATTTTAGAAAAGATGGCTGTTTGTGTTGGTGTGGCCACAGTTGTGTTTGTCACCCAATTCAAAATTTTTAAACAGAAACAAAATTTGCCAAATGATTCTGTTTGTGTACCAAATTGTTTACAAACAAAAGCATTCTTGAGCTGAGGTACCACTGTATAATTTATCTAGGTGTGACTCTCTTTAAGGATCTTTTGCTTGGAGTTTTCTGAGCTCCTTGGGTGTACAGATTCATGTTTTTAATAAAGTTTTGAAAGATTTTTCTCACTATTTCTTTAAATATTCTTTTATTCCTTTTTTTTCCCTCCCTCTTCTTCTTCTTTCAGGGACCCAATATTACAGGTTGGTGTACTTGATGGTTCCCACAGGTCTGTCAGACTCTACTCATTTAGTATTATTAATTTTTGCTGTTCCTCAGATGGCTGGTTAATCTCAGTTGATCTATCTTCGAGGTTGCTGATTCTTTTTTATGTCCTGGTGTGCTGTTTTGGACCTCTAGTGAATTTTTCATTTTAGTTTTATGCTTTCTGACCAGAATTTCTATTAGTTCAGTTTTATAATTTCAGTGCCACATTATTCTTTATTTTATTACCATACATTCCTTTATTTATTTGATATGATCTCTTTTTGTTAATTAACATTTACAATAGCTGTTTTATAGTGTTTGTCTGATAAGTTCAACATTTTGGTCTTCCACAAGGCAATTTTCTGTTGGGCTCTTTTCTTTCCCTGTGTATGGACCATACTCTAAAAAATTTGCATATATCAGAATTTTTTGGTTTCCACCAGGGTAAAAACTATATATTTTAAATAAAATGTACCATATCTGGAAATCAAATTATTCTCTTGCATCTTTAGAGCCTTTTTGTTATTGTTAATTTAGTGCCACTCTTGAACTAATTCTATGAAGTCTATTCTTTTTTATGTATGGCCACTGAAGTTTCTTGTTAGCTTAATGGTCAGCTAATGAATGGGCAGAGATTTCTTTCAACATCTGTAATTAATGAATCTCCCAGACTTTGGAGGGAGTTTAGTTTGCATTGGGGGTTGTGTCCTGAAAACTCAAGCAAGTAGTTGACAACTTTGTCTTCTTTTTACTTCCTGCTTGTTTAGTCTCAGTCAGATGAGAGATTAGTCCCTTGTCAGATACAGTCTGAACATACAAACATCCCTGAGAGTACTAATAGCCCCACATACTCCTGAACATTGAGATTTCTAGGAATATGTCAGCTTTTGAAATCGCTATATAGATCTTTCCTTCCAAAGCTTTTCCTTTTAACCAATTTAGTTTATCTATTTTTTCTATTTCTATTGCCTACTTTCTTGGGCAGCCATGATGTTACATTGTTGCCACTGACTATTTTCAACAAACATCCTGGGTAGGAGGAGACTGTTCAAACTGCTGTAGCTCTCAGTCATGTCAAATAAAGACAAGCATTTTGAGTGGGATATTCTAAGAAAGCCCTAGTCAAATAATGGAAATTCATTGAAAAGGTAAATTTGAAGGACCTCTGCCCCCATTCTGTTCCCTTCAATGATGGCTGACTTTCACTGTACTTTACTGTTAGCTTTCACTATAATTGAGAACCTTTGATTTTCCAGGTTACTGTGGTGACTGAAAGGGGAAATAGGTATAAAGAAAATTAAAACCACAAAATGTCACTTCAATGCAGTGTCTTGAACAGATATTTCATGAATTGCCAGTAGTCTTTGCTTAGTTTCTAGAGTTCTGAAAAAAAATTAGTTCTGAACTTGTTTGCCAGTGTTCTCATTGGTTGGAATAAGAAGAGAGCTTCCTTTTTTTAATTTTTATTTTTATTAGTACATGTTTAAAATGCATAATGATTACATCCATTGTAAGGAGTTGGTAAACGTACATTACATATTTTTTATAGTCAGAATCAGATTTATTTATTTTTAAGTCTTATCAAGTTAATTATCACAAATACAAGTTAACAGCCAGACTAACAGAAAAAAGTATAAAATACATAAAACAGTTATACTAAATCAAGGTATACTTTTAGATACAGTGACTATGCTGGATTACAATAAGTTTTTTCTCTTTCCCTATAGTCTTTTATTTTGCTTTATTTATTTATTAGGCTTTTCATGAAAAAAAAAACCATGTGGTTTTCAAACTTGTGTGTCTAATTTACTCCGCTTAGCATTATGATCTCAAAGTGCATCCATTTTCCTACAGATAACTCAAGTTTTTCCTTAGATATGGCAGAGTAGTACTCCGTTGTGTATAAACACATTTTTTTATCCAGTCTTTTGTTGATGGTCATAGAGGGCTCTGGCAAGATTTAGCTATTATGAATTGTGTTGCTAAAGGATATGTATATATCACTATAATATGATGTCTGTAACACTTTTGGGGGAAGATATCTACAAGGGTATCATCTGAGTCAAATGGAATTTCTAGTTTTATGCTGGATCTCCATACCCATTTCCATAGAAGTGGTATCAATTTACATTTTCTCCAACAGTAAAGATGGGTCCTTCCCTGTCCCTGCAACCACTTCAGGATTTTTTGTTATTTGATTTCTTAAAAATAGCCATTATTTCTGGAGTGAGTTGGAATCTCAACTTTGTTTTAATTTAAATTTTTCTAATTGCTAGTGATGTTGAAGAATTTTTCATGTATTTATTGGCAACTTTTTTATATGATGGGATGAAATTCACAACTTCACACTTGCTAGGCATGCACTGATGCCACTGAGCTAAATCCTCAGCCTGGCAATTTGTATTTCTTCATTTGAAAAGTGTCTATTCAATAATGATACCAATTTTTGATTTGGTTTTTGAATTTGGGAAGTCTAATTGTTCATTTCTTTATATATTCTAGGTATTAGTCTAGAGCTGAAAAAACTTTCACCCATTCTGTAGGTTATCTTGTCACATTGATGGTAGTTTCCTTTGCTATACAGAAGTTTTTTAATTTAACGTTATCCTATTTGTTGATTTTTGGATTTACTTCTTGTGCAATTGGGGTTCTGTTAAGAAAGTCTTTGCCTACAGCCATTTCTTCCAGAGTTTTACCTAATTTGTCTTTCAATAGATTGTTTCTGTTTTAATATTTAGATCTTTGATCCATGTTGAATTTAGTTTCCTGCATGGGGAGACGTAATAGACCTAAGTCCAATCTTCAGAATGTGGAAAGTCAGTTTTCTAGCACCATCTGTTAAAGAGAACATTTTTCCTACAGCAAAAGTATTTCCTCCTTCATCAAAGATTTGGTAGTTTTGTGTGCTTGGAGTTGTTTCTCCATCCTTTATCCTGTTCCATAGATCCATAATTTTTTCAAACCAATTCTGTGCTTTTTAAATCATGGTACCTTTATAGTATAACTTGGCATTCCAGATTTTGATGCCTCTTGCTTTGCCTTAATTGTCCAGAATGGCATGTGGTGTTCTAGGTCTCTTTTGATTCCACATAATTTCAGATTGTTTTCTTTAGTTTTGTGAAAAGTGCCACTGGTATTCTGATTGAAACTGCATTAAATCTGTGTAACAGTTTTGGAAATATAACCATTTTGGCTATTGTTTTGCCTATCTAAGAGCAGGGTTTTTTTTTTTTTTCATTTTCAGAAACCCTTTTTGATCTTCTTTTTGAGAATATTGTAGTTTTTATTGTAGAGGTCTTTCACTTCATTGATTAGGATGAGTCTTATTTAGGTCATTTTACTTGATGTTGTTTGAAGGGTGTTATTTCCTTAATTTTTCTCAGAATGTTTATGGGGCACTTCACAAATTTGTGTGACATCTTGTACAGGGGACATGCTAATGTTCTCTGTATCATTCCAATTTTAGCGTATGTGCTGCCGAAGTGGGCACTGTCACAGTGTTTATTAGTGCATAGGAGAACTGTTGATCTTTGAGTATTGATAATGCATGTTGCTACATTAATTTGGTTATTAATTACAGGTGTGTTTTGGTAGAGTTCTTTGGGTTGTCTACACAGAGGATCCTGTCATCTGCAAATAATGTTAGATTAACTTCTTTGTTTCTTATTCACAACCTCTTTATTTTTTCTTACTTGCTTGCTCTAGTGAATGTTTTGGGATCCATAGGGAACAAAATTGGTGATAATGGGCATCCTTATTTTTTTCCTGATTTTAGAGGGAAAGCTTCTACTTCATTCAATAAGACAATGGACGTTTACTTGTTGTAGATGCATTTTATCAGAACTTATGAACAGGACTTCTTGATATTGGTGGAGAGATAGGATAGTTGTTTTAGTAGGGCCATTTTAGAACTTTTTATTGGAAATAATTTTAAGTTTACAGAAAATATTAAAAAATACACTGAACATACATTTATCCTTCACACAGATTCACTATTGCTAATATTTTGTCCCATTTCCTCTATCATGTTTTATTTCTCATATTTTTCCTGAGATATTTGAGAATGTATTGCGTATTTCATACTCTTTTACTTTAAGCACGTTTATGTGTTTCATAAGAATAAGAAAATTAAATCAATCAGAAAATGATGATCAAATTCTGAAAATTTAGCACTGATACTATACTTTTTATCTCCAGTTCAGGATCGATGTGATACTCATGTGTTATATTCAGGTATCATCCTTTCAGTCTCATAAAAGTATTACTCTGAGTATGGACTGAAAACTCCAAAAATCTGTGAGAAATAAACCTTTCCTTTCTTCATGTTGGGCATCAGGTATTTTCTCTCAACAATGAGAGAAGTAACCAAGACAAAATTTGGTACCAGAGGATTGGGGTTGTACCTATGATTATACCTTACCATTTGGTTCAAGAGGCTTGGTAAATGGCTTGTTGGAAGAGTTTGGGAAAGTTTGGAATTGTCACCTAAAAGAGTGGCACTGGAATAGCTTAGGCTATCCTGTAGGGATATTCTGGCCGGAGCTCAGGAGAACACAAGGCTAATGGAAAGCCTGCCAGTAAAGACCATGCTTGGGAGGTTTCTGCTGGGAAGAAAGATTGCATTGGTTGTTGGACTCCACAAGATACATATTATGGATTGCCAGAAAATTTTTCTGCATTCTTCATTTGTCCATAAACTGCCTGATACTGAGAATGAGGGCAATAGACTGAGTAATTTGGCAGAAGAAATTTCAAGGTAGTCAAGTGTTGAGGGTGTGGCATAGCTATTATTGGGAGGTTTTAGCCAGATTTATGTTGTGAATCAATAGCAAAAAGCCCAGCAGGCTTTTTGAGTTTGACAAGAAAACCATGTGAGTTTGCCCAGAAAACCATAAACTGTACAGATAGGTCTCAGATCTCGATTGCTGAAAAGGAACAGAGAAATGAAAAGCATGTCTTGGGGCCATGCCAGGAAGCAGCTAGTCTCCACCCATTGAAGCCTCAAGACTACAAAAGTGAAAGATTTTGCTCAGAAGAGAAAGCCACAGAGCACCAGGTTCCAGAATGGTGATAGAGGCAACAAAGATTCGAAAATGATGATGGCCACACCAGAAGCCAGAATGGTGGTGACATAGAGAAGCTGTTCCGCATGATCAGGTTCAGAGAGCTTAGTGATCTAGGCACTTGACCTCTACACCCAAGAGAGGAAAGCTTGGCTTCTGCTCCAGCTGGCAGGAGACATCAGTGGCATCCACATGGCACTGGATTTAGGTGCATGGAAAATGCACGAGTTCTAAGGCTAAGGCAGCTTCCACTTGGATTTGAGAAGGGCTGGGAGGCCAGGCAGTGTGACCGGGAGAAGGCAATTTGTAAAGCTGTGAGTAATAAGCCAAAGATGCAGTGAGGAGCCCAGATGTTTGGAAAAGCCAGGAATGTGAATCATCTAAGGCAAGTTGCAAAGATTAAACAGAAGTGGCATAAGATAGAAGATGCTGAAATCCCTGGAAGCACTGTAGGAGTGGAGTCCAAGCTGTTTGGAGCTTGCAACAAGATTGCTTCAGATACTGAACAGGAAATTCCTGGACTTAATGTTGACTCTGCTGGGTTTTGGACTTGCTTTGGTTCCAGTTCTTTGTATTTCCCATTGCATACTGGAAGCACCTAATATTGTTTTCATACATACAGGGGCTTTCATCTAAGAGTTTGATTGGATCTTCCAGGAAATTGGAGACTTGGACTTTTCAGCAATGCTGAATCTGTTAGAAATTTGGCAATTCTTTGAGATGGACTAAATGCCTTTTTTATAAAAGATGTACATGAGTCTTTGGAGGGCCAGGGGTGGAATGTTATGGTTAATGTCAGATACCCCTTCCTCAGGTTTCATGCAATCATGGATGCAGCTGAATCTAGCATTCGTGATTGGTTCATTGTCTGGCACTAGGATTGGTGGTGTGAGTGCTACACCTGCCCAGGGGTGGAGCCAGCATACAGTGTAAGGGCAAGAAGAAGGCATATCTATCCACTTTTGCTGTTTTGGTGATGCTGTGCATGGCTTCCATGAGTGGCTGGTCCTCAGCCACACAACCCTGCCTTAGATCCAACTGAGTATGGAGTGAAACCTCCTAAAAACTGTAAGAAGTAAGACTTTCCTGCCTTCTTGTTTGGTGTGAAGTATTTTGCCTCAGCAATGAGAGAAAAGTAACCATAATAACTTTTTTCCTTTCCTCTTTCCCCCATCCTTGTTCCTTTTTCCTTTTAAAAACAATTTATTCTGCTTCCCAGTATCTATTGTGTGTTTTAGGCTTTATGTCCTTTTTTAGTTTCGCATACCAGAGAGACAGCATAATGTTTATGCATGTGACTCTGATTTATTTCATTTATAAGTATGGTCTCAAGTTTACTTATACTTACTTTTTACTTATACCAATCTCAAGTTTATCCTTCTTTGAGGCTGAGTAGTGCTCTATTGTATAAAAAACCACATCTTTTTTATGCATTCAATGATTGATGTGCATTTTGATTGTTTCCAAGATTAAGCCATTACATATTGTACTGATATAAACATTGGTTCCCATATGTTGCTGTAATGTGATAATAATTTACGTCTTCTGGGAAGATACCCAAAAGCAGAGTAGCTGAGTCAAATGGGACCTATAATCCTAGTTTTCTGAGAAATCTCCATACTGATTTCCACAGTGCTTGCACCAGTCTCCACTTCAATCAAAAGTGGAGAATGGTCCCTTTTCTTCTGCCCCCCACTAGCATTTGTTATTGGTTGATTTCTTGAAGATAGCCATTCTTTCAACAGTAAGATGCAATCTCACTCTTCTTTTAATTTGCATCTCTCAAAGGACCAATGATGTAGAACATTTTTTCATGTATTTCTTTGACATTTCTATTTGCTCATCTGAGAAGTGCGTATCCATCCTAGATGACCACTTTTGGATCGGTTCTTTAACAACAAGGGAGCCTGATTTGTTTTATTTTCAAATTATTTAGGAAGAAAGGCACAGAAAATAAAAATAAAAAAGCAAAATAGACTAAGGAACAACAAGAAACACAATTCAGTAAGAATCTAGCTACAGAACAAGATGATAAGAATTTGACAATTGTTGTAATATTGCATATTGCTACCTTCAAAAGGGTTGCTTAGAGTAACAGATATAGACATGTAAAGGAGATCTAATTATAATAATATTATTATTATTTTCAAATATCTAATACAATTAGCAGTATAGTCAATATATATATATATATATATATATATATATATATATAAACTTTTGTCCTTTCCTTTTCCCTTTCTTCTTTCCTCTTTCCACCTATCCCATTTATCTTTCCTCTTTGAGAAGTTTCTTACTCTTACACAGTATTCATCTTATATTTTGGACTGTATACACTTCTTCAGGTTCTTATACTAGAGAGACAATACATAATTTAAACATGTGAGTTTGATTATTTCACTTACGAGTATGGTCTTAACTCATCCAATTACTTATAAAAGTCTCAATACAATCTTTCTTTATAACTGAGCAGTACTCCATTGTGTAAAAAACCACATCTTTTTTATCCATTTCTCGATTGATGGGCACTTGGGTTGTTTCCAAGACATGGCTATTACAAATTGTGCTGCTATAAACATGGGTGCACATATATCACTGAAGTATCTTTTCAGTTCTTCTGGAAGTATGCCCTGAAGTCGAATAGCTGGGTCAAATGGAATATCTTAGCTTAGCTTTCTGAAGAAACTCTATACTGATTTCCACAGTGGTTGTACCAACCTACACTCCCACCAATAGTGGAGAAGAGTTTTTTTCCTCCACAACACCAACATTTGTTATTGGTTTTGATCTTGACCATTCTTTTTGGGGTGAGATGGAAGCTCAGCATTGTTTTAGCTTGCACTTCCTGAATGACCATTGATGTGGGACATTTTTCATATATGTATGTGTCATTTATATTTCTTTATCTGAGAAGTGTGCATTTATCTAAGTTGCCCGTTTTTGGACTGGATTCTTGAAGTTTGGTTTTCCTGAGTTTTAAAAATTCTTCATATATTCTACATAGAAGTTCTTTTCTTTTCTGAGGGAGAGTTGGCTAACATAATTTCCCTAGTTGTGAGTTTTCTTTTGATTCCGTTCAAATTTCTTATTTTTTAAGTTTTATTTAAGGAGAAAAAAAAAACAAAACAGAAAAAGATAGAAATAATGTGTAATTTCAAAAAAGAATGAAATCACTAGTTGATAAATTACATATTGTCTTCTTAGAAATAGTTATTCAAGTTACAAAGGTAAAGGATACAAAGTGGACATTCTAACAGCAAGACTGCAAACACTTCTGTTTCATGATCCAATACCTTAGTAATATATTTATCAATCCTGAACACTTAAACATACATGCAGTTGTATCCTTTAGAGCACTTTCTTTTCCTCTGTTTTTTACATTAGCAATTACACATTTTGGGTTTTATTACTCCTCCATGTCTTTTTA